ATGCTCTAATTCACTTCAAGTGACATGTTTAGGATGATTCAAATTGCTATCTCTAATCCTAACTTCTGCCCTAAACTACTTCTAAATGTTGCCAAATGGTTATCTCACATTTTGAAACTGAACTTGGCATTCCTAGAAACAAGCACCCCCGTTATCTTCCCTGCCAAAATGTCAACAAACAAGCATTAATTGAGCAATAGCTATGCAACATACCATGGGAAAACAGTGGTCAATAAAATTGGCAAGATACCTGTAAGGCAGGGCAGACAATAAACAAGTAAACAAGCAGTAATTACAGATTATGTTAAGTATCAGTTGTGCCGTGGGATGCTAGGAGAGACTACTTACATTGGCTTGTCGGGAAATAGCTCTCTGATGAGTTAATGCCTAAAACTGAGTACTGAAGAATAAGGAGAATTTAGGTATGTGAAGAGAGTAGAGGAAACAGCACTTCATTCAGACACAACGGCAAGCATCCGGGCCCCGGGTAAAGACCTTGGGATGTTCCAAGGACCGAAGGTCACTGCAGATACGATGGTAAGAGTGAACTCTGAGGGTCATTTGGATTGATAGATCATGTAGTGTCTTTTAGGGCATGAAAAAGAAGAGTTTGAGTTTTGTTCTAATTGCAGTGAAATGTTTTAAGCAGGCTGTGACAATCTGATTTCCATTTTTAAAATATTCTGGCTACTCTGGTGACTAGATGGAGGTTGGGGAGGAGGCAGGGAGGAAAGGGGAGATCTGGTTGGAAACTCTTAATAGCATTCCAGATGAGAGATGGTGGTGCTTTGAACTGTAAGGTGGAGGAGAGGTGGGACAGCAATGGACTAGGAGCCTTGAACCAAGAGCACTTTATCTTAGGGTGAAACCTAAACAATGACTCAGAATTTTTCAGAGAAAGGGTTAGCAGGTGTTGCAGGCAGGAAGAACATCATGCACAAAGGGTAAGAAACTGGAGAGAAAATGAAATATTTGAGGACCTGAAAGAAGTTCAGCATGCCTGGAGTCTAAAGAGGGAGAATGACAAAGGATGAAGTAAGAGATACAGGCAGAAGCCAGATTATACAGGACCGTGTTGAGGGATTTAGACTCAATGTCTGGAGTTCTGTGCAGGGCTATATTTGAGAATTACTTGGGTATAACCAGTATCGGAAATCCTGGGAGTAGATGAGATTACCCAGGAAGAATGTATAGAATAAAAAGAGCATAGATCCTGAAGCCAAGACCTGGGGAATATTAGCATTTAAAAGGAGTTGTTCAAGGAGACTGTAAAGAACTAGAAAAGGAAAGTTTGGGACAAGAGAGATCAAAAAGCCAAGGGACAAAGATTTTTTCAGAAGTTCGTGGTCAGCATTTCAGGTTATTCTTTGGGAGGTTAAAGAGAAATAGCTTCTACCGGGCGCTGATGAACCTGGGCGAGGATGAGTTCGGTGCAGTCACAGGTTGAAAACCAGATTATTGAGGGTTGAATGAATCGTGAGGTAAGAAAATTGAGATGGGGTATGTATAGGTGACGAGCTGGGCTTTGAGAGGACAAGAATGATGGAGTCCTGGTTAGAGTTTTGGGTAGAATCTTAAGAGTTTTTTGGATTTTTTCATTTTGAAATACGTGAGATACATGTTTAAAGCGGTTTGGAAGAGAGAGATTGAAGGTAAAGAGAGAGGAGGTGGGATGGAATGGGATCCTCTACGGTATTTATCTCAATGGCCATCATCTAGTGTCTCAAGCTAGAAACATCAGAGCAGCTCTTATTTCTTTTGTGCCAAGCCTTTGCCCTACTTACACGTACTAGTCAAATCTTAATTTTACCTCAGGAATATCATTTGAATATAGTTTCTCTTTTCCACACTAATGTTGCTTTTATTAGGTCAGCCCCATCTCTGTAGGGCTGTTGAAACAACCTAGTCCCCATTCTGGTCCTTTAAAAAGAGAAAAAAAAAAAAATCCACTATGATCACATTACTGCTGTACTGAAAGACTCGTGAATCGTGGTCGGGCCCTTTGCAGTATTAACTTCCCGTAATCCTGCCGTCCTCCCATTTGCCGCCACCTCTCTATGCCCAGACTACCCGTTAGCTACATTAAATTTCCCTCTGATCCAGAAGCTTTCCTGGCTCTTACAAAACCTTTTTCCTTTAATAAAGATATTTTCTTTTCCTGATTCATTTGCTCATTTTTGCCATTCAGGCAAATTCCTATTGAAGATCAGCCTGAAAATCATCTATTCTAATGTAACTCAGGCAGAGTAAGTCATTCCTTTCTTCATCCACGTCACTCTCCATTCTTCTGTTACGGCATTCATTTATTCATTATTTTATTGATATGTGTTATATGTCTCTCTTCACTGGACTGTTGGCTCTGCCAGACCAGAAACTGTCACTCATGAGTATACTGTAGATGATTGGTATAATACCTGAAGTTCATTAGCTTGAACTGACTTGAACTTAAGTGAATGGTTGCATTGTAACAATTCATGGAATTTTGTTCCTAGTATGCTGGAATTGGAAGTGATCGTTTTAACATTAAGAACATTGAGGCCTAAGGAAGTGAAATGATTTTCCAAGGTTATCTAGATAATAACTGGATTCTCCTGGCTCAGGACCCTCGGAAGAACTTGCACTAGCTGCTGTCAGTCAATGCTGGTTGGGTAATATTTAAGATGGAGACAATATCAGCACAGTTAGTTACCATGTATGATGCTATTTAATTTTTACCTTAGAGAATGTGACTCAAAGATTGAAATGATGGAAAGATACTGTATGGAAAGGGTCCTAAAAATTGTTTGAATTCAGTACACTAGTCTTCCTTAGAGCAAATTAAATTATTTAAAAGTCAGATTTAGCATCCTTTCACTCAAGTCCACACTTCGTTCTTCTAGAGGGGTCCCTGGGTACATAATTGTGTGTGTGTGTGTGTGTGTGTGTGTGTGTGTGTGTGTGTGTATATACTTAAATTTGAGAGAGGGAGCATAGGTTTTTTAGCTTCTTTAAAAAGGTTCCTTGATTCCCCTGCCCAAAAATTAAGAACCGCTGTACCTGATGACTTGCAGATGTTCTGCTATTGTGATAAGTGATCTTTCTCAAAGCAAAGTACATGAAAAATTCTCTTAGCTACTACTTGAATTATATTTTTAATCTTTGCTACTTTCATTTTTAGGGTTTGTGTTTAGTGAATCAGAGGGATCTGCATTAGAACAGTTTGAAGGTGGCCCCTGTGCTGTTATTGCACCTGTTCAGGTAACACAGACTCCTTTACCAACTCCTTAGAGGAAAGTGTTGAAACGTTTCCGACTTTCTGTTTTCTAATGTCTGTATTTTATATAATCATGAAACATCATTTAACTCTTTTGCTCATGCAAATTGCTATAAATATTCAAAATAAAAATGAATTCAGAACATTGAGTTGTATAGCAGTAGCCTTTTGACTATTTTTATTTCCAA